TGGGAATTAACCAGCACGTAAGTAAAAAATTTGTATGTTATTACACAACTACCATTCAGGGTTGGTTATGAGAATTAAATGAGATAAGGCAGGTAGAATGGCTGGCACATTATTATATTCTTTCAAGAAATGTCACAGCAACCCATGTGTACACAGCCTGCAAGTCATTCTTACTAAAGTTAGAAATTATTTCATGTTGCCAAAATGAGCAAGCAGTTTTATAAAAGGCCAAACATGATCTATAAAATTGGATCCCAAAAACTAATCATATGTACCCTGTTAGTGCTTGATAAGGGATGTCCAAAAGGAGAAAACTGACAAGTCAACCAATTTTAAGTTCATGCTGAAGATAAGCAAGCACCAGACATCTAATAAAATCTACCTGTAATATCTGGGCTGAAAGCAAACCACACAACTATGTATACAATTCAGAATGGCAGCAAATTTTAATGTTTGTGGCAACTGCTTAGATTTGTCATTGAGAAAATGCAATTAAGAAAGGCATTAAATAATAGCCTATGAATTAAGAATTTGGTTGGGTCAAGATAGATCATAAATTTGAGAAAATTTCCTGGAGCTAGTTCTATGAGACAAAACATAAAAATCCCTGAGAGACATGCCAGCATCTGCCCTTAATTCCAGAAGCAGGAAGCAAAGATGTGACCCAATCACATGCTATCAAACCACAGTCCATCTGTTCAGAGGACGCTGCATTATGTAAGACATGACCAAAAAGAACAGCAAAAGGAATGTGGTCAGCCAACATCTGCAGGGGGCTCTGTGGTCTAAAGAGATATGCTCTTATATCAAAAGGGCCATCCGTAGGGTAACAGCATTTTCAAAACTCACTTCAATTATACATGAGCATATCTGATGCAATATAAAGGCATTACAAGAATGGTGTAGAATCTGGATAACTTTCAACCAGACCTAGAACCTTTCAGCAAGGGTCACCCCCACATTAGCACCCCCCTGCCGCAACAAGAACAAGATTTATCTTCCACATGATTAGTTTGATCACAACAATTCCCTTATGCAATTCCAACAGCAAAGGATATCAACTAAAATTCTAATCTAACCAAGGTTGTTCAGATCCAGCCTAACTCAATTATACTACTTAACCCAAGATTGTCTTCCAAACTACTACAAACTCACTTTTCTCAATCAGTAATCACTATACCAGGTGTCCTTTTATCAGCAATAAAAAGAAAAAAAAAACCTGACCTTTCCTTTGAAAACTTTTAACCTATAATCATTCTCCCTCCCTCCCAACTGCAGAACTCACTTTTTTTTTTTTTTTTCAGAACTCACTTTTCATAAATTCTGAGAAATTCAAGACCAGTTTCACTTAGGGAGGTCATCCCACTAATCCTATTCCTCCTCCATCTTTGAGTTCTTCACATTTTCAAGATTTGGAATCAGAAAAGCATTGTTCCTGGCCAAGTTCTACCCTTGTGCAACCCTGAGGAATTCACTGAATCTGAGTTGTATTTTTGCACCTGTAAACAGAAGTGATGATACACCTTTGACTTTACCATTAGAAAGCCTGGCGGACATCCCATCATGTTATTTTCCATCACTCAGCCTATCTATGTTACCTTTCTGTTTTGTTTCCAGCCATTTACTGTAGTTTTTAGGATTGGGGTTGGGGGTGGGGGGGGGGAATAGAGGTTAATACATCCAAACCCTACAGTACAGAATAAGAAACCTATTACTAAAGAGTAACTTGTCAGTCAGTCAATAAAAGCTTTTATTTCCTGTCCTAAAGTAGGGCCCAGGTCAGTGGGGGATATAACTTAAAGAACTTTAATACTCATCAAATCCTACTGTCTGCCTATCTGAATTCTAGCCACACTTCAAAGCCAGTTTAAGTCCCACAGTGTCCAGGAAGGCTTCCTCTGACACTCAACCTACACTATTTCACTCTTTGAATACTAATGCTTCTATACAGGAGCGGAATTAAAAATATGTAATAATTGGCACTACAAGGGTAAAAAAATCAATCAGAAAGGATATTTACCCAATCAAAACATAAGTGACCCAATGGGAATTGCTGATTGAACATCAGTCCTAATTACTACTAACAATACAAAAGAGTATCCTGAAACTCAAATATGCACACAGCTTCTCATCTGATCTTCACAACCATGTGATTTAGGCAAAATAGGTTATCACCCATTTTCTGCAAAAGTAGAGGTGAATTGGGGACTAATAACCAAATCAAATAACTGCTTCTTTCATCACACTATATAACATTTCCTGGTTACATACAGAGAATCATAAATTAATATTGCATAACCTATACTAGCATAAAATAGTAGGACTGCTCAAATGGAATTCATTTAATCAACAAGTATTTATGCAGAACAGGATATAAAACACAGTACTAGGTTCTGAGGCCATGAAAGAAAGAAAAGGTGTGACTCTTGCCCTCTGGGTACCTAAAATACACCAATGCAGTTAAATAACAGTGCAAGATGGCAGAAATGGACAGCACAAGCTTTAAGTGCTATAGGGTTCAAGGAAGTAAAGAGCTCAAAGAGAACTAAACCAGTATAGGAAGTAAAGACTGAAAATACTCTCCTCATGCTCCACAAAAGATGCAAATTAAATATGTAGTGAAAAGGCTCAACAATCTGGAGTTAGTGGGAAAATAGAGATTACTGGAACTGAGGGTTTGCAGTTGTGAGAAGTGAGATTTCTGATTGGATTCGCTAAGATGACCCAATCAGAAGCCTCAAGCTTTGCTCTAGGTGCTGACTACAAATGGGAAATCCTATAAATTTGTACAGGATGATACAGGAAGATTAGCTTGGCAATAGCCCATGGAAAAGCCTAGAAGAGAGAAACACTGGAAAGCAACTAGATGTGGGTGATAACAGGCAGAACTAAGCGGATGGCAACAAGTCAAAAAAGGCAGCAGAGTTGAGTTTTAGGTATAAAGGAAGTAAACAGCATTCTCACATGGGATATGTATGTAGATATCGTGGTACTAAACTGTGTAACAGGGACAATAAACCAATTTCCCTAGAGCAATTTATGTTGGAAAGACCAGAAGCTGAGCAAAGAAATACAAAAGTGATCCTCAAACAATAAGGAATGATAGCAAGTCTTAAACAGGGAAGCTAAATTATTTAAAAAAAAAAAAAAAAGTGCACTTCTTCAGAATGTATAGAGTGAAGAACTGAAATATCAACTTAACCAGATCAGAGGAGGTGGTCTGGGCTTCAAGTAACATAAGCATTTACAACAACTTTATACTGTATGTGTGCCCACGTAGGCTGTGAATTCCTCCTGGGATTGGATGGAGAAATATTTTGAACATCCAATTAAACCCAACACTGTTTCTTAAATCCACAAACACTTGTAGGTGGAAAAGAGTGAAGTATTCTTCAAGTAGTAGTACTGAAATATTATTTTGTTTGATGAATAATTACATTAATTCTCCCACTTATTCACACAGTCATCCTGCCTTCCTCCTTATGCCAAGGTCAAAAGCACAATTGTTTCCTCTAATGCAGACCTGTGTAAAGGGACTCAAGAATGTGCGAGGAATCAGAGAAAAGCCAATTTGATACTCAAATTGTGGAGGCAAAATTAAAAAGTGAGTAATAAAATCAACTGCCTATCAGATGATTGAAAAATTAAAATGGGCTATGCTAATTTGGTGTATATATCAGGAGTATAGATTTTGGAAATAGTGAACAGTAAGTGCAAATTCTAACTTAAACACTTGGTAAATACTTGCCTTGCACCTCAGTTTTCACATCTACAATAAAATGGGGCAAAAGCCACTAGCCCTGATGGTTTGGCTGTGGGAATCAATGTACTTTGGTGTTCCTTATGCATTTACAAAATAATAATCTCAATAAACAGTAGCTATTAGTATTAATAATAATTGGCATCTCCAGTCTTAAGAGGTTGTTTTTTTCAACATTTGCTACCCGATTTCAGAAACAGAAATGTACTTTTGCTCTATTTTAGTTGCTAATGTTGAGACTCTATATTTTAGTTCGGTCGCTAACAAAAGTTTTTCACTCCTACCCTCGCCAGAGTAGATGACAACCATTTATTACTACCCGATTTCATATTTTGGAAAGCCGCGCAAGCATTCTCCCTTGAAAACTAGTCACACAGACTTCTGGTTCTAAAATACTGTGACTGATTAAAAGGAACATCACAAGCAATGTTCCTTCGAGGAAATGAGAGCATTTGATCAATTCACAGAGTCATTCCCATTCAAACATTCCAAACCCTGCCGAGTGAGCAAACGTTCAAGTTTCTACTATGAAAACAATCCGTAGCCTTCTGGTTACTGGACTCACTTCAACACTTCCAGACGCACGAAAAGAAGAAACATTCCGCGCATCTTCGTGCCTCCTCACACAAAGCTTCGCAGCTCCCCTTCCACCACCCCCTGGCTGGAGAAGCAGCCCTTTCCGCAGGATTGGCCCGGGCCGGCGCCAAAGCCCAGGGCAGCACAGCCGAGCCGGGGGTCTGGGCTACAGGGCGCCCCCCTCCCACCGCCCTGGGACGCCCTTGGGGCTCAGAGCCCACACCCGGGACGGGAAGCCGCCGCCGACCCCAACCCCGCCCGGGCCCGGCAGCCCCGACCCGCCTGGGGCTGGGGTGCCCAGTGCAAAGCCACACGGTGTCAGAGCGGGAGGGCAGCAGCGGTTCGGCCAGTGCCCGCCAGCCTCACACCTCCGGCCCTCGCCCACTCACTCTCCAGAGCACAGCCCCAGACCTCGGACGGCTCCTCCCGACGCCACCGCCCCCGGGAAGCCCCAAGTGGGGCGGCCTCGGGCTGCCGGGCACGTCCGCCGCGCTCCGACCCACGCTCCCGCCCGCCTGCGGCTCGCGTGGCGGCCGCTGCCAGGGCCCAGCACCGCCACCTGCGCCCCCGGCCCCGCGCCATGTTTGAGAAAGAGCAGGAGCGAGCCAGAGGCCGGGCCCGGCCCGCGCGCCCCGAGGCCGCCCGCCTGCCCGCCGCCGCTCACCCGTCGCCCTCGGGAGCAACGTGGCGGCCGCTGCCAGCACGAGGAGAAGCAGCTGGCGACGCGGAGCAGCGGCTCCCGCCTCCATGGTCCCGCCGCCACCGCCTGTGGCCCGGCCCGGCCCGGCCGCCGCTTCGCCTCAGCAAGCCTCGCCTCGCCCCACCTCCCCCGCCGCCGCGGCGGCCTCGCTCCGGCCCTTTGTAACTGCTCCGGGGACGCGCGCCCATTGGCTGCCGGGCTCCCGCCGGCCCCGCCTCCCGCCGGCTGAGAGCGCCCGAGCGGGACCCGGCCCGGAGCCCCGCCCGCGGGCCCGTCAGACAGCCAATGTGGAGCCGCGGGCGCCAGCCTCTGGGCACGCCCCTGCACTCCCGGGGGCCGTGCTGCCAGACCCCTGCCCTAGCCCGAGCTGCTCCCGGCTCCCGGCTTCGGAGGCGAGTGGGGGCAGGGTCTAGCCAGCCCCTGGCCTGCAGAGCCTTCAGCCCTCTCAGCGCGGGGCCGAGCCGATGGGTGGGTCTCTGTGTGAGTTGCTTCGGAAAAAGACTGTGGCCACTTGACGCTCTTTTCTTTCACCTCCAACTGCACCATGACCCCCCCCATTCACATCCCTGCATCAGCAAACCCCCAACACGCGCCACCCAGATCGGCTCTATGGTCAGCCCCTGCATCTACTCCAACTTCCCCTCCCCAGACCTATGCCTCAACTTTCAACAGATCTCCGCCAAGACTCTTCCTCAGTGTCATTCATATACGACCCAGGCACCTATTTCTTACTACTCTTAGTGTCCACCCCAAACCTGGCCTCTCTCCCCAAATTCCAGGCCCCCAAACCTTCAGAATCCAGATCCTGAGCTCAGACACACCCCCGAGTAGCCTCCCTCTTCTCTCCAGAACAAACCCACACGGGGAGCCAAGCCGCTCTCTTGCCTTCTTCTAACACCTACTTCAGGTTGGAACCCGAGGGTCCCTCACCCCATCCCACGAAGGAGAGGGATTCCCTTACTTAGCACCCAGCTCCCCGGCGGGGCGGAGGGGGAGCAGTCATCATTACTTTGAGTTGTCTCCGACACGCCTGTGTAATAATTCTGAGGTGTCACTAAAAACCCAAATAAACTGCACTACGTTTTCATTCTGAATTCCTAATTTACTGTGAGACGCTCCACCCACCTTCCCTCTGGGACGCCAAAATGAGCTCCAGATTTGTAATTCTTCCTGTCAGACTAGTCCTTTCTTCAGACACAAACACAGCCAAGGAGGCTGTTCCATAGCACAGAGAACATTTTTCCGCAGAACCTTTTAAGGAAAAAATTTTATTTTGTGTGTGATTTGAACTCGGAATTAAATAAAGCTTGGTAGGAATGAATCAACCAGCCTCCAGTATCGATTGGTAAATTACTGTAGAGCTGCTCGCTGAGCAAGTTATCTGAGGGACTTCCTTCAGGGACTGGATCTGGGGTCTGAGACCTGCTCTATTCTCCTCACGCTAGGACATTTGTGTGAACAAGTGAGTTAACCATTCCCAGCCTGCATCTCCTGCAACTTGGAGGCCTACAGCCTGCTATCTGGGGCTCCAGGCCCACCAGCAGCAAGCTCTCCTTGGCTCAGACTCACCCTGTCCAAAGAGACGGCCTCTAGTTCCAGGGGCTTCAATGGAGGCTTGACGGACCTTGTCACACCTGAGGTTTTTACACTGCCTTTTTGCTGTTCTGTTCTCAGTGGTTTACATGATATAAAACCTCAAGAGATTTTTATTGTACGCATGAATGCTTCATCTCAGAAAGTGATTGCTTTTCTCTAGCCATCTCTAAAATGTAAAAAATAATAGTACCTACCCCATTTATAAATAAAAGAGATTGAATCACATGTCTTGGGTCCCTTAAATGACGTAATGTGTCTGGAACAGTGTCTGGAACATAGTAAATATTTAGTTAATGCCATTTCCTTTGCCCATCCCCTTTCCAGCTCTGTGTGATTCCAATCAGCATCTAAGTTCATATTAATCCTTGCCTTTGCCTTACAGATCCTATGTTAATCAGTGTGAGGATCTCTTCTATGACACACCTCCAGGTCCTTAACATTTTCCATGGAATCAAGTGTGCTCAATAGAAAACTGAGGAACAGGAAGGAGAAACAGACTATTTTTAAATTTTATCTTCCTGATATTAGAAGGAAATTTCCATGAGCCACAGATCCATAAATAAGCTATGCTAGAATGGAACAATAAATTGTAAGTTTAAAATCATGGTTCTTCAACTTTAAAGTGTCTCCAAATTACCTATAGAGCTTTTTCTACTGCAGATTCCTGGGGCTAGACCTAGAAAGTCAGCTTCAGTTCCTCAGGAGGCAGTGTGGGAATCTGCATTTGTAATGAACACTAGCCCCCCACCCCTAACCCACACCCCACACCCCACACACACTGTCATTCCACCCTGAGTGATTCTGCTACACCTGGCCCAGATTCGCTTCAAAAGACACTGGTTTATTTAAAATTCAGTAAATAAAAATGAATGAGCCTGTTTGCCTTTGGAGAAAGCTTAGGCCATGGAAAGGAGCCTAGGGCTTTGAAGGCTTGGAAATTCTGATTGGAATTCTGACTCTGCCACTCACAAGATCTGGATCTATGAATGCTACTTGAGCTCTTTGAGATTCAGCATTCTGTAGTATAAAGTGGGATAATGACACCTACGCATGTTTTTGTTGTGAGGTCTAAATAAGCTATTGCACATAAAAAATTCATCATAAATGTTAATTCCTTCACTATCTCCATAAGTTCTCAAAAAAGCTCAGAGGTTGTTGACTCCAATGACTTAATTTCAAGGGGGAAGAAACTGAGAATCATCCCCCAGAAAGTCAGCTATGGAGCTAGAACTAGAAGACTCCCTCCAATTCCTTGTCCCCTGAACAATGCTTCCTCTCAATCTTTATGCTGAGTATATTATTGCTTTTTCTTCTGGATTATTCCCTCAAGTAAGATGCTTTCTCCAAAATAGAGAGCAGAGGCTACTAGTTGCCTAATCTGTATTAATTCCAACATTTGCTTTATAGCAGATACTAATTTCTTTCAGGAAAGCAATTCACCCAGGTTAAAGAAAAAAAATCTCAATTTCCCACAGGCTTTTGCACCTAGGTATGCTCATGGCTGGAAATATGTTAGTTTTGTTGTTGTTGTTGTTGTTATTATTATTATTATTATCACAGTACTAGGGATTGAACTTGGGGCTCACACATGCTAGGCAAGTGCTTTGCCACTGACTTACAGTCTCAGCCCCTTTCTTTCTTCAATTTTATTTTGAGACAGGATCTCACTAAGCTAAGTTGCTGAGGCTGGCTTTGAACTTGTGATCCTCCTGCCTCAGCCTCTCAAGTAGCTGGGATTACAGGTGTGGCCCACCAGGCACAAACAGAAGTTTACTTTCTACAAAGTAAAGTTTGTTTCCCCATAAAAAAAGAAACAGACTCATCTCATTTTCACTTTTTTTCTGCCTAGAACACAGTTGCAATGCCTAGAGATAACAACAGCCTCTTCTAAATATAAGGGTGACATCAGAAACTAGGGATAGTGGAGAGAAAAAGAGAGGCTGGGTTCTTATATATTCCTGGAACAACTGAACCAGTTCTGAAATTATTATTTCTTACTATGTGAGAAAACTAAAGCTCTTATATTTTTTAACCTTGGAACATTTTGCCTCTAGCCATAGGTCCATTCTATATATTATTACAGGTGTGGCCATTATTATTGTATATTGTATTTCTATTTTAACCTACAAGTTATTATTAATTTATACCAATATATAACCTATTGCTAATATCTTGGTACTCTTAACTGTATAACAGTCTACTCCAAAAGTTTGTAGCTTAAAGTAGTAACCATGTATTATTTCTCATGAGACTGTGGGTAGGCTAAGCACTTTCTCTGATCTAGGCCAATTTAAGCTGATCTCTGCTGAGCTCTCCCAGGAATCTGCTGTCAGGTGACAGGTTAACTGGGGTGATGGTCTAGATCAGCGCCTCCAGGTGGTGTTTCATCCTCCAGCAGGCTAGCTTGGGCTTGCTAACAAGGCAGTCCAGAGGTCCAAGATAATGAGAGAAAGTGTGCAAGACCTCTAGAGTCTTAGATTTAGAACCAGCACATCATTAGGTTCATTTCTACCACACCCTGCTGTTTATTTGGGGCATGAATTGAACCAAGCCCAAATTTGGGGGGTAATATTATGATGCATATATATTTTGGGTTTTATTCATGGTTCCTGGCTCCCCAAGGTAGGCCATAGAATTTCTGGCTTCCCAAGGTAGGCCATAGAATTTCTCTTCCATGAAGCTGGTCATAGACACTAATCTTTCTGTCTTGGAACTGGCCATAATGAAATTCCCTGGCCTACCTTGCTTGATAGCAGATCATGAGACTGCATTGGAGAAAGGGTCCTACCCATCACCCCCATGAAGGAATGCTGCAGAATCTGAACAGATAGGCCTTGTTGAGTTTTCCCACCCAGATTATTAACATTGGATCATTCCCTTTTTGTCCAATTACATTTTTGACATAGTTGTTCATGCATCAATCATGCCTATATAATGAAGTTTCTATTAAAAACTCCCATAAGACAGGATTCAGAGATCTTCTGATAGCTAAATACATAGACTCCTGGAGGGTGGTGCTCTACATGGAAGTGACAATCCTTCCCTCACACCTGGGCCTATGTGTCTCTTTTTCAGTATCTTTTGAAATATCCTTATAACAAAGTGGTAAACGTACATGTTCCTCTGTGAGAAACACACGTGAATATACATGAATTCTGTGAGCTGCTCTAGCAAAGGAGGGTGCTTAGAAACCCTAATTTATAGCTGGTGTGTCAGAAGGAAGAGGGTAAATTGGTGGGGACTGAGCCCTTGACCTGTAGGGTCTAATTCTATCTCCCAGTAGATAATGCGGAATTATAATTGAATTCAAGGACCCCCAGCTGGTATTTACTGCAGAACCCAAGAGTTGCCAGGTGTGTGGAGAAACCCCAAAACACATCTGGTATCAGTAGTGATCTGAGTGGAGTGAGACTATAGCAGAAACTGCAATGGAGTTTGCTTTTTTCTATTCAATTGGGAAACAGGCTCCATTTTTTAAATAAAAGGAACTGAAAATCCACATTGCAAAGAGGCATGGATATCAA